TCGGTGTGGCCGTCGCTTGTGCGGTTTGTCCTTTCGCTTGCACCACAGACGGCAAAACGAGAGGCCGTAAGCTGCATTGGGGCAGGCTTTCTGGCACCGCGGCCGGCGCTGACCCGGCGGGGGCGGCAGGGGCAGCGTCTCTTGGTTGGTGCCTGTCGGGTTGTAGCCAGCTGCAGCACTATAGCTGCTGCCGCCGGTCGGGTTTGAGCCAGCAGCAGCAGTATAGTTGTTGCTGCCCATGGATCGCTCGGCAGCCACGAGAAGTGCGGTCTGGATGCGACGCCTGGCGTCGGCATCCAAACTCGCAGCCCACTCGGCAAGCTCTCCGTCGGACATGCTTGCCGGATCCCGCATCATGGCCGGGTCGTGCTACAACTTCGCAAGGGCCTCTATATAATATATCCTTGATCCTTCTCGCCTTCCGGCATGCACGATATAGGGTTTAAGGTTTTAGGGTTGAGGTCTCGGGGTCTGCAGTATGGGGTTTAGGGCTTTAGGCTTCGGGGCTTCTCATATAGGAAGCCTGAACCTTTCACTCCACAGCAAAACCCTTCAGATGCCTGAGACAAAGCCTTGAGGTTCCTTTTAGGGTTTTAGGGTTTTAGGGTTCAGGGTTTGCAGGGTTTAGGGTTCAGGGTTTGCAGGGTTTCGGGTTCAGGGTTTGCAGGGTTTATAGGGTTCAGGGTTTATAGGGTTTAGGGTTTATATGTAGGGTTTATATAGGGGGTTGCAGGTTTGGGGTCCAGCGACCCTGCCCTAAACCCTAAACTCCCTAAACCCCTACCCTAAAACCCTCCACTCTCGCAGAGCTTTTTTTCCTCGCCCTCTGGAAGAGTCTCGTCCACCATGGCCCTTTCAGACCGGAAGAAGCCTTGGAGGCGTCTCGCTGCTCTGCATGCACTCGCCGGGCCATGCACAGAGCTGCCTTGCGATCACCAGGACTGCAAGGCACGCGCTGCTTCCTGGAAGAGAGCAGTCAGCACGCGGCCTTTGTCGAGTCCCCCGCCACCGGGCGGCCCCCCCTT